AATATACAAAAGTAAAGAGATGGTACCTTTTTTAATTTTTACTACAAAACTGTCTTTCTCTAAGCGGTTGACCAATCAAAACAGAGCCGAACAGCTAACCAATCAGAGCAGACTGGGCTCTGGTTTGAGACGGAGGGTGACAAGAGGTGCTGCAGCACAGGCAGTATGAGAAAAATAGAGCTCTTTGAACATTAAAGCAGTGCTTGCGTGCGTGTGTGTGTGCGTGTGTGCGTGCGTGTTCGTGTAGCCTCTTGCCCACCTGAGCTGGAGGACACAGCCTAATTGAATTTTAATGTGTTGTCAATCTGCCTGAATAAAAATAGGCTAAATGCCACGTTTTGAAAGGTACACATCAGAATATCTCTTTACTCATTTTCAGGATCCCATAGCAACGGTCTCCTCAGTAACCAGCAAACCCAAGAGCAAGTGGAGACCGCTGCCTCTGGACACTGTGGTGAGAACACAAGTCAAATAAACAACACACAAATATAATCTGCATTAAAAACACACATCTGTCTGTGGTATAAAGTATCAGCTTCTGTGTTCATGTAGACAACAATCCTCTCCTTTCATCTGACCAACAGGAAATGGAGAAACTTGCATCTCGAAAGCTAAAAATAAGCGCCAAAGAGACGATGAAAATTGCAGAAAAGCTCTATACCCAGGGGTGAGTGCATGCTGGGTAATCTACATTCATACTGCAATCTTTTGGTTTTGTCCGACCATGCTTACTGTCCTTATCAGTTTCACTGTAGTTTGTTTTTGTTTCATCGTGAAGCCACTGTTTCAGAGGCTCTGTCAGTGGGCATGTATTTTTTGTTTTCCAGATTGTAAACTTCCTCAAAGTCGTGGCTATCTTTGTTCTCGCCATCTGGCAGGGGTCGTGTCCTTCAGGGAATTAAAGGGACAGTGCCAATTTCAATTTTTTCATTGTATTGCCTAGGGGCTGCCTCATTAACTGAATATTTATTAAAATCCTAATTTTGTCATTTCCAAATCGCAGTGAGCAATGATTGGTAAAGGCCAACAAATTAATATATATTAATATGAACATAAGAAGGTAAAATAAAAATGTGCAATATAGATATAAAGTATTCTGAAATGTAAGATTAACACAAGAACTTGGAAAAAGATCAAATGAAGGTCCTGCTGCCCCTGTCCACCCTGGCCATCTACTGTAGGTAATAAACAGTGTATAAGTAGCTGAATCAGGCCCTCTGAACCCCACCCCTTCCCTCGAGAAAAAAAAAAGAGTTATTACGTCATATACATTTATATATACAGTCTATGGTCACAGCGTATACTTCAGCGGAATATTTCTTTGGAAATGTTATTTTAAATACAATTAAATCAAGTTATTTTGGTAAAACTAATGAAAAATATAACAAAAAATATATATATTTTTAATGTTTTTAAATATTATTTTGTAGAATATCTTAGGCCCTCAGAGAGGGCCTAGAGGGCCCTGACGGCTCGCCACTGCGTCTGAGAGTTTACCAGCAGGGTCTTTTTCCTCTCAGATTGTCTGCGTGAAGATGACTGTGTGTTTGTTTCTCTTCAGGTACATCAGCTACCCTCGAACAGAGACCAACATCTTCCCAGAGAACCTGGCTCTCGGCCCCCTGGTGGAGCAGCAGACTCACAGCCAGGCCTGGGGGGGGTTCGCTCAGCGGGTGATGGAGCAGCCCGGGGGTCCCAACCCTCGACAGGGAAAGAAATCTGACCAAGCCCATCCCCCCATCCACCCCACCAAGTTCGCCAACTCTCTGCAGGTAGGTCTGCTGAATCTAGACCTTCAAATCTTCCCTCTGCCCAGTCATGAGCAACACACACCAGAAACAACCGTGAAACTCAGTATGCGACTGTTGGTGTTTGTTATTTACCTCGTTTATTTCACTCGGTGCGACAAGACCTTGAGAAGACCTCGCACCGAGTGAAATAAACGAGGTAAATAACAAACATCAACAGTCGCATACTGAGTCGTTTCTGGTGTCTGTTGCTTTGTCAACTATTTTGCCTGGTTCTTCACCGGTCAGAGCAAATAATCCAATAAGAGTAATTTAATTATGGAATTCCTGAAGTGGGTGGGTGTGTGTGTGTGTGTGTGTGTGTGTGTGTGTGTGTGTGTGTGTGTGTGTGTGTGTGTGTGTGTGTGTGTGTGTGTGTACAATCGACAAAAATAGACATTCAACGTGATACAGTTAATTCAGAAAATTGAGGCAAACACTGGAAGGTCATTTTAAGAGAGAAATTACAAGGAAGTACAAAGAGAGTTTCTTATTTGTAGAAAAACAAACAAACAAAAAAGGACATTAAGGAACCACTTAGGTCGAAATTCATTTCTCAATGCAAGTTAGAGATATGCAATTGTTAAGAATGTACCCTTGAAGGAGTGAACTTGAATGCTTGACTGTAATAATTGTATGCTTTTTTAATAATTTAAGTTTGAACTGTGCAACTGTATTACCAAGGAAAACTGAAATGAATAACAGAACTCGGGACATTCCCCTTTGTAATTAGATGTGCTGTGCTCTTAGGAGCTGTTTTTAAATATAGGCATGTTGACGTCATTATAATTCCGCTACGAAAATGTCTCTGATAATAAGAATTATTGGTAAAACACAGCCACCCTTCCCACCCAGTCCAGTCATACACCCTATCTGTTTAATTTAAATATTATGAAATACATTTTGCTTCTGTTCCTTCTGTGTCCAGGGCAATGAAGGACGTCTTTATGAGTTCATCGTCCGGCACTTCCTGGCTTGTGTATCCCAGGATGCTTTGGGGCACGAGACCGTGGTGGACATCACCATCGCTCAGGAGAACTTCTCCGCCTCGGGACTCATGATCATCGCCAGGAACTACCTGGACGTTTACCCCTATGACAGGTGGAGTGCCAAGGTATTTTGTGTGTGTGTGTGTGTGTGTGTGTGTGTGTCTCACCGCTCCCTGGTAGAGCTCCACTTCTCTGTCAGTGAAGTACGGCAGCTGTTTGAATGGATTCACGGAGATCAGAACCGCCCCGATGTACGTCTGCAGGAACCGGGTCAAGGAGCAGAACCAGAACAGAACCATGTGTGTGTGTGTGTGTGTGTGTGTGTGTGTGTGTGTGTGTGTGTGTGTGTGTGTTTGTGTGTGAGGATACGAAGATGTAGTCGTCGTTGTAGTGTATCTGAGTGTGTGGATAACAGACTCTGGAAAAGCACTATAGGAATGTTTTTAGTTAATTAAACTAACTAAGCTCAGAGAAATTTCAATCAGATGTACATTATTAGCTTTGATTCAATGATTATGAGACTTTGCTATAATTTGCCTGTGTGTGTGTGATTGTATATCCTTTATATCCTGTTAACCTATTTTATTCATGCCAGGTGATTCCAGTGTATGAGCAGGGCTCTCAGTTCCAGCCCTCTGCGATCGAGATGGCGGACGGACAGACGAGTCCTCCTCAGCTGCTCACTGAGGCCGACCTCATATCCCTGATGGAGAAACACGGCATCGGTACAGTGCGCGCACACACACACACACACACACACACACACACACACACACACACACACACACACACACACACACACACACACACACACACACACACACACACACACACACACACACACACACACACACACACACACACACACACACACACGAAAGAGAGCGGGGACTTTTCCAACTGACTGTTTACTTTCTCTTGCATTACAAGCAGACTCATATTAAAGAAAATAAACACTCATTAATTTGTTCACAACACATGATACATTACTGAAGGTAAGTCCTGTGCTTTCAGTTTGTTTCGAAGTGAAACAAGACACTATGATCCGCCTCATCTGTACTTTGTGTTCTGCGCTTGTCAGAATGCTGACCATAGCTGTATAAAGAGACGGGGCTCTGTTTGTCACTATGAAGCTGCTCAGTGGCACATGAAGCTCTAAAGAAGTGCAGAGTATTATCTTGCGAACTTAGTGGCGCCATAGAGCAGGGGTTCCCAAGGTGGGGGGTCGCGAGACCCCGAGTGGGGGTCGCGAGATGATTACAAAAAAAA